GTAGTTCTAACACTTTCTTGCAACACACCAATGTATTGTCTTATGCCCCCCACTTTGAAAACCGCAGCACCAGCAGCACCGATGCCAATAACATATTTCATTTTCAATTCTTCCTCTATCTTGACTTAGCACACATCCCTAAGACAAATCATACTCAATGTCTTCTTTTTTCTTCAAACAAAATTCTCATAATCCCTTTATAGTGCACCTTTGCTTCATTCTCTGAAGTACTTCTCGGCTTATGAATGGACACGTGATGGTGTCTTTTCATGTTCTTTACAAGGTAGTACCCCCAAATCTGAGAAATCTTGGGCTAGATCAGCTCTTTAAAGAGACCTTTGTGAGGAACGTCCAGGGAGCCCGACTTTCACCATCTGTTGACTGAGAATACTGGTGTCTGCCTCATAGAGTTTCATTACCTTCACTGGTTGTAAACATGAGGTTACTGCTGTGAAAGCGCCTGGCCCCACACCTGACGTGTCCTGGGTGCTCTAGATGAGGTTGTTGAGTTTGAGATGACAGGTTCACTGCATGAAAGGTGCTCACAGTGGAAAGGAGGGAGAGGGTGTTCTGATCCTGCCTCAGCTGCTCACGGGCCTGTAATGTAGAAAGAGTCACCCATATTTTGGGAGTTTTTTGTCATCTTTAAAAAATGAGAAACAGTGAGGCTTCTGGTAGGAAGCGTTCCTTTTTCATCTTTAAATGTCTAATCTTTTGTGTTTCCTTAGCAAACCTACGACTTGGTTTTAAAAATGGGGTTAATAATTTTAACAAAAGACAAATGATCATCAAGAAAAAGTATTTACTCAACGGATAGTGTTATAACGATGTAAATTGGAGATAAAAGAAAGAAAATTGTATCCATAGTCCTCTCATCAAACTATATCAAAGGCTTTCTTCTTTTTAGTTTTCCAGTCTTGTCCGTTTTATTAACAATTGTCATCATATGTACATCTAATTTATTCCATGTGACTAAAATGAAGAAGTCAGATTAGATTAGTTCTCTGATTCTGTGATGGCCAGAAGGGCGCTGCACTGAGTCAGATAAAGTATGCCAGGGTCTCAGAGGTTAAATTAAAAATTCCAAACTTCGAGACCTGGAACTCTGCTCACCCATCGGCCTGAGTCTGGATCTGCTCTCCCGCACCCACTGCCCCCAGGCTGGCTGAGGTCTGCTTGCATCAGAGCAGGTTCATTCCTGGCAGCAGCAGGAAGACTCGGGATGAGAGGAAGTCCTGCTCCCTCAAGCAACACTTATTTCTCTCTTCCTGGAGACTAGTGGGGTCTTGATGAGAACCCTCCAGACTCCACACGAGGGCTGAGAGGGGAAGCGCTGGCTGCTCTTTGCTGGTGTCCTGCCCGAGAGTTTTCCTCTATTATGTTTTTTAAACATGTGTCTCTTTCAGAGGAGTATAACCTTTCAGTGCCCCTTAGAGAAGAGCACAGACACACCACAGCAGGAAGAGAAGTAGAGGAAAGGAAAACAATTGTCACCTGCTGAAATTACCTTCTAGGCCCAAGATGGAGCCGCTCCTGCCCAGGGTGTCAGGTCAGCAACCTGAAACCTGGATGACTTTCCTGTCCCTGTAAATGCTGCGCTTGACCAGAAACGCAGTCTATCCAGCCAGCCAGCCCCCACCTGCCAAGAATCTGTAATGATCTCCCTGTTCTCAATAAGGTCAGATATGCAACCCCAGCCAATCACCTCAATCAAATATTCCTTCCTTATTCCCTGATTGACACGCTGGCCTTCTAAGGAAATCGCTGAGCTCCCAGCTAGTCCTGCCCTGTTTCTGCCTTGCTGCTTCTCCGGCTCCGGAGATCTCCTCTCGCCCAAAACCCTGGGAAGAGGGCTCCACTGCCCGTGAGGCGCTGGACTCCCCAGTCCATGCATTGTCTTCCCTTGAATAAAGGTATCAGTCTCATTACTAAATTGTATTATTTCTGTAACTTTACACACTGAAAAGAGTATTTTGCTTGGGGTGGGACAGACTTCATTAAAATTATGGCTGGTTATTGTCAACAACTGTTGAACCTTAAATTTGAGTAGTAATTGATAAAAGTGATTAAAATAATTGAGAGAAACATAGCTTTGAATGTTGACAATGTGAAATAAAACAAATTTTTTTTCATAAACCAGTAAATGGTTGTGGATTTTGTCCCCCAAAGCATAGTTTTCTCGTTGGTGAAAATCTAGAAGAGAGAAAAAGAGAAAGAAAACAGTTCACCCAATTTCTCACCACCCAATTGCTCACTGACTGTATTGAAACTCTTTCCACCTGTCCTTTTGCTATGCAGATGTCACCACAATTGTCACTTTCTTTTCCACTTAACGTTTTACCACAAATGCACTAGGCATCTCCAGAAGGTATAAATGATAGCCTTGGAATATTCTCTTAGTTCTAGGCGATCAGAATTGGCCACCCCAAAATGTGTCTCTTTGCCTTGGTTATTTTTAAGAACAAAAGACTCTAAGAGAAACTTTGACCTTCCCCCTAACTGCCTAAAAGAATTTAAGATAGAAGGCCTATTCCAGGAAGGAGCTAATACCATAAGATATCATTGTCCACAGATGGGCCAACAAACACTCGTTTAATAAACATTTGCTTTTCCATCTCCATGTGAATTGTCTTCCTCCCCTTTGAAGTCCCAAACCTCTACCCCCAACACCTTCCTTTGTCTCTACCTCAAGATAATATTTAAAGTGGCTGCTTTGGCCATTCTGGGGAGTTATTCTGTTTTTCTGGGTTTCTCCATGTATACGTGTTATAAGCTTTGTTTGATTTTCTCCTGTTATTTTGTCTCATGTCAATTTAATTCTTAGACCAGCCAGAAAGAAATAGAGAGAGGAGGAATTGTATTTTTCCCCTACATAGCAAAGTATTCTGTTGCTTAATATTTGGCTAACACCTCACCAATAAAGCACAACCCAAAAGCCTACATGTGGGGACACTTGAGCCTTGAAGCTTGGTTATAGGTGAGCAGGTCTGACTTTCAGTTTTTACTAGAGAAGAGGAACTCAGGAAGTGGGTCTGGTGGTGCATGCTGAAGGACCCACAAATTCCCTCCCAGGCAAAGTTCCCTTTCTGACTGCTTCCTTCTCTTGGCCATCAGGATATAATTAGCATAACTAACTAGCATAACTACACCCAGGAGGCCCTGGGTATAATTACCATAACTGGAAAGGAACCTTCTTTTCAGTTGGGAGTTACAGCTACCTCTATTTCTGAAAGCTTCATTTCAGATGCATTCCTTTCTCATCCTTCAAAATGCCCTGTCTTACCGTTTCTGAGGATATGGTGCTGGAACAGGAGGAGCTGGTCCTGCCCCCTGGCCTTCCCTGCAGTCTGATTCAATTTAGTCTTTTTCCTTTGGCCACACACACAACAACCAACTCTCCAAAACTGTAATATTCCCTATAATTTCTAATTTATGTGGACCCCAGAGATCATCTACTGCCACCTGGCAGTTTCAAGGTGAGCCAATAATCCCATCATTTCCTGATCATGTCTATGCATCTGGGACTGGACTACATGCCTTGCTCACGATATCCTGTTTACTCTCCAGGCAACCCCATGAGGTCCCATTTTACAAATGAGGAAAAGGAGATGACATAACTTGCCCAAGACTACAGAGCTATCAAGTTATTTTAGGGCATTTAAACTCTTCTTCTGATGGAACCTTTGGGTAAAATGCCCCAAAGCTAGTTAGGATGGTGGGCGTGGGTTTCTGGCAGGGATTGCTGTTCTGTGCTTGTCCCTCCCTCCCAAGCAAGCAGCTCACTCACTGCTCTATTAGTATCAAGTGGTAAATGAAGCATGAGGTTTGTCTCCAGCCAGACCTGGCTCCATATCCCCACCTCATTCTCTCTAGATGTTGTCAACCTATAAAAACAGAAACCAATTTGAGGGCAAAGCTTTTATTTGTGATCAAAGAACTGCAGTTCAGGGAGCACGGATTTACATAGAAACCCTAATGGTGTCCCGATTATAGGAGAGGGCCTCAGGGTTTTTATGGAAAAAAGGGAGAAATATGAGGTAAGTTGTATTAAACAGGAGTTTACTGGTGCTAGATGAGGCAAGGATAGGCTTTTACTTCGTAGATTGGCTTGAGATTCTGTCATCAAGCAAAAGGCTAGACTTGTACTTCATTGGTTCATTAGCAATTTGGTCATCAGCAAAGTCCAATTACATCGTTTCTTACAAACAGGATATTCTTGTCCTTACTGACTGCTTGGAATGTTTTCCATTTGGTCCAGTTGGGAAGGTCAAGAAAACAAGATGAGCAAGGCAATTCCTCTGAAATGGCTACTCCAGCTCTGTTTTAATATGACTCCACTCATGTCATTTTTCGCAATGTGCAGCTTTGGGAAAGTGATTTAAAATACCAGCCCCAACTCTCCCTTTTTCTAAACTAGGTCTAACAATATTTGTCCCACAGGACTATTTTCAGGATAATAAAATAATGAACATAAACCAATTAGTGCAGTGCTAGAGTGTAGTCAACGTCCACTCAAAAAATGCTCTCATCACTGTTATTATCCAAACAACAGCGATAAGAGCATTTTCTCTCACCATTTATCATCCCTCCTTTCACCTTGTGGTCAGACTTCTGTATCTTCTTTCTAGAGCTCCTCCCTCCCTCATGTCTCTCACCAGTTGCCTCCTTGCCCCCCCAAGGAAGCAGCAGCTCAGGCTCTAACCTGGCCTCCACCACCCACCAAGGTGTGGCTCCTCCCACGAGGTCACTCTGGGATTCTCTCCACCAGGGCAGGAGGCAGGGCCGTGCTGGGCTGCCTTGTCCTCCTGTGGGCCCTCCTTTTCATGGTAGGTCCGACCCCCTTTCCTGGTACAGGGTGCACAGTAATCTCTGAGGGTCTTGCCACCTCTGCTTCACCGCTGTCTCCCTCGCAGGTGAAGAGGCAGCAGTCAGGCTGGAGCAGCCGGCCTCAGTGGTGGTGTGCACGGCCACCCTGGCTCAGCCTTGCCATCCCGCCGTGCATGGCCCACACCACGGTCAGCTACATCCAGTTGGTACCTCTGCTACCAAACCAAAATGAGTTCACTCCCTGGTGAGTTAAGATCAGACTCTCCACCAGAAGCAGTTGACACACAGAGTAAAGTATACTTGCAACAAATAGGACACCACGCAGAATCATTTCCAAAGTCATGGCGCTCCCTGAACAAAGGGAAACAGGTCCTTTTATTTCGGGTGGAGAATGAGTATTTCAAAGGGAAGTTTTGCCATCACGTGTAGAGGTAGGTATTAGCTGGCATGGTGCAATCTAAAAGCATGCCCTCACATACATCACAGGTTATGCTAATAAGGCATAGGCACTTGTTAGGGCAGAGATTTTAGTATTAAGATGAGGAAAAAGGCCATTTTCTGGTCATCTTCATGTCATCTACCCAGGAGTTGCCCTTGCAGTGGGGTTGGATCCAGTTCAGACCAGTTGACACTGGTATCTCTTCCAGACATAGCTCTAAAAAACAACCTTGAGGGAGAGGTAAGCATGATTAAACTTCCCTCAGCTGCTTAGACAATGCACCTGTGACACCACAACCATCGAAGGGCAAGAACCCTGAGAGACTCCTCTTACTGGGCCATGTTCAAGGCAGATGTGCCATGGGATTCAGTCCTAAAAGCAGATAAAGTTACCATGTTGAAGGAAAATGATGGCACTGGGTGTACCCTGTGGGTGCTGAGGGGAGAGAAGCACAACATGGACATATACTACTGCACTGCCTGGAATGAGCAAGGCCCCATGAGCCACTTGGGCCCCTGTGCAAAAAGCACTCGGACTCCCTACTCGTCAAGGCCTGGCAACTTCCACCACCTCCAGGTCCCTTTGGTTACCCTGGGGTTATCCATCAACATCCCAGACTCTCCTGGACGCCACCTCCCCCAGTCCACTGCAGATAATGGATGAGAAAAACAGCTGCTAGTGCACAGGCTGGCACAGACTCAGAGAGCCATTTGTTTGGAGGTGGCCTTTCCAAAGATCACGCAGATCAGTGTTTCTGAAGTACTTGGAGGAGGATCTGTGCTGTTAAATCCAGTAGCCACTAGCCATATGTGGCTAGTGAGCACTTGAAATGTAGGGAGAGACCAACAGTCCAAGCTGAGATGGACTGCATGTGTAAAATGTATAAACCATATTTTGAAGTTAAGATAAGAAAAGTGAAATATCTCATTAAGAATTTTTTATATTGGTTGCATGTTAAAATGATATTTTGGATATCTTGGACTAAATAAAAAGTCCTAAAATTTATTTTACCTATTTCTTTTTACTTTTTTTTACACAGCAGCTAAAAAAAATTAATTTGTGGCTCAAATTGGTGACTCACATGTAATTCTATTGGATGCACTGTTAAATACTAACAGTTTAAGAATCTGACCATCTCCCCTGAAAAATGCATAAATGAAATACTTTGCAAATAATGTCAAGGGTAAAGGACTCTCTGGAGATTGACCACAAAATGGTTGAAAGCTGAGACTGGAAGCCAATTCCTAAATCCAGTTCCTAAGTTGTTGCCCCACCAACCATCAATTATTTTGCAGCAGAGGAGTCAGTGATTAGGTGCACTGGAAACAACATTGCCAACTTTGCAGTGCCTCATCCATTAGTGGGCCTGACACTCAGATCAGTTTGGTAGATAATAATCCTCGTGGCAGGGTGATGCCATCAACCCTGGTGAGACACCGGGCCCTCTGCCTTCCACTTCTCCCCTAGTGCCACCCCACACGGGAATTTGGGTGGATCTCCAGCTTCTCTGGACCTCTGTTCTGTCATCTGTAAAATGATGTGGCTTAACTGCTGAAATTATGTGGCTCTGATATCTGTATTAAAGCAAAATCATAAAAAAAGATATAACTATATTCACTATTTTCTCATAAAGCCAGTCAAATTCTTGGAAATAAAAGAACAGAATAGAAAATAAAAGTAAAGAAAAGAAAAGCTATATTACTAATCCTCCAGCCCCAAAAAAGAAACTCCTCTGCTGCTATTTGTGGGGGGAAAAAAAACACTGTTTGAGATCTAAGCCGAACTGACACATTTTCAATTGAAAATTCAAAGTTTATTCACAGTTTAGTAAGATTGGCAAAAATGATTAATAAAAGGAAAGTCTAAAGGTTCTGAAGGAAATCAGTCCCTCGGATTATTAACTCATCGTCTGTCTTCCTAAGCTTCTGTTTTGTGGTTAGAAATTTATAATTAAGACATGACTGCTTGTGAAAGAGCCAGACACCCCCATCCTCTACTGAAGGCCTAGGTCAAGGCTAACACCTCCCAATATATGTGAGAAGGGGTCGCGGTAGAGGGGGCTTAAACTTATTTTCACTCTGTTTTCAGGCTGTTCCTTCATTTCGTCTTCCCCATTGTCCTAATAAGACAGAACCCTTTCCTCTTCTAGCACCATCTCAGTGCCTGACTCCAGGGAGGATAGAGCTCTGTGAACTGGTGATAATGAGGGGCATGGCCAACAGGAGGAACAAGCTCCTCACTCATCTCCTTACAGAACGTCATCCCCATTCCCCAAGAGGGGCTGCCCAGTGCTCTGCTGTGAACCTCCAGACCACCCTAAACCCCCATCTTCATCCCTCACTAACTCCTGCTGTGCCCGTTATGAGCTCTGTGACCTTGAGTGAGATCTTAACTCTTCTTAAAGGGGAGAATTGTGGCTGACACTCAGGCTCTTGGCTTGGACAAAGTGGGTAGGAATGTCCTTTATTGAGACACGAAGAAGAGATGGGTTGGAAGGAGAGAATGAGTTCACCATGGGCTATGTACAAAGTCAGTTTGAGGTCCTATGTCAGACACTTGAACATGCCCAGTAGCCAGCTGGATATGTGGATATGGTACTGAACCAAGTGGGCTTGCCTCCTGGTGAGGTAAATAAGACTCTACACCACTGGAAGTTGTCTTGCAAAGTAAAGTGTATTTGCAGCAAATAGAAGGCCATGAGGAATCATTTCCAAAGTCATGGCGTCCCCGAACAAATGGAAGCAGGAACTGTTGTTTTGGTTGGAGAGTGAATATTCAAAAGGGAGAGGTAGGTATTTGCTTGCACAGGCTCAGTTGGAGAACAGGCTTCCACATAGTGAGGCCTAAGCTCCTCCTGGAGAAATCTTTGCATTAAAAATAAGGCAATGTCATGGGCTCTTGTGGTGAGGCTTGGTCAGTTTCAGGATGGTTGGTGGTTATATCTCCTAAACATACAAAAGGAAAAGAAACAACTTGGAAAAACAGCTAATTGCTTCCAAATCCACCTTTGAGTTTCTTGGGGAACCTCATTGGTGACAGATATGCTCAGGAAAAGGTGTATGATGGAGATGGACATGTAATTACCTCCTATCATCCCTTCCCCAATTCCTTCAAGATAATTAAAGCCAAGAATGGGAAGAAATCCCTCAGGGAGAGCCAATAAAGTGAGAAGAGAAGTCTGGAAAACAGCAACTTTTGGTGGATTGGGGAAGAACAGTTTATAAAACTACCCTAGGACAGATTGAATGTCTTGCGTTGGAGACAGAAAAACAGACAAAAAGGAAACTCAGGAATTCAGAAACAGGGAACCCAGTTTCATAGAGGAGAAGCTGGGGTTTCGAAGAGATATATTGCTCAGGTGGCCAATGGAGAGGACGTAAACCTGAAGCTTAAACAGAAGCAAACAATCCAGAATAGAGTGTTCAGACCCCTGAAGGTGCCAGGACCTCTCTAAGCTGTAGGGTGTGTGGGTAGCTCAACAGACGTGAGCACATTGACAAACCAGTCTCTCTAGCTGGTTGCAGAAGTTCTCTGTGGGCCCAAAGATGCATAACACAGCCTGGACCACCCTCTGTTCTTCCCACCAACTCTGGCCTGACAGCTCACAAGGATTATTGAGGATTTGTTCTTTGACAGGCAGTGGGAGAAAAGAGAGAGGACCAAGATCATATCATTAAGTCATGTGGTCTCCCCATTAGACAGCTCTCCATGGTTAGGTGCCATATCATTGCATCTTTATTACACCCAAAGAACTTAGCATAATACCTTGCACATAGTGGGAGCTTCATGAATAAATGACTCCTCTCAGAGTTCTGTGGTGGCAGTCTGTACTATGTGGTGTGATCAAACATGGAGATCTTAGTAGGTGGAGTAGCTGGCACTACTGTCTTCACATAGTGTGGATGTGCTAACTGGTGGTGAGGACCCGCCTTCACAATGAGACAAGAGAGCCATGTTCACCTTCCCCGGTGGAAAGTTTGACCTGGTGACTCAGCCAAGCCACAATGGTCTGAAACTCTTCTCAGCAGTGGTTGCAGGCTGCCCTGCAGGAGATCGTAGTTCATACAGACATGCTTTCACTCTTTCAAGCATTACCTCTGGCAGTCCTTGGTGCTTCTAAGTTGTTTTCCTCTCCAATTCCCTTTGATAGGTATTCTCTAATTTTGTAATTCTTAAAAATTTCTGAGTTTTTGCTCACTACTCTTTTCCTTCCCTCAATTCTCAGTGTATGTGTGGTGCAGATCATCTTTGGCAACCTCACCTTTCCAGTGCTAAAGGGCTGTCAAAAACAGCCCACCTGGAATGTGCCATGTGGTGTAAAAATTTCTACGACGTCCATACATTGGGATCAAGAAAGCCCTGGTCGAGCCGTGCAGCACCTGCTGCACATTTCATCTCACAACACTGTCACAATGGAGGCAGACATTCCTCTGGGCAAACTTGAGGCAGACAAGACACCTGCAACTTCCATCTCTACCCTCACTGTTCACTGTGTGGGGAAAGGAGACTCAGCCACCTACTATTGTGTCTTCTGGGAGGTGCACAGCGGCAGATGTTAGAGCCATGCCAGTCAGTAAATGTCCAGTGATTCTTCATTCACTATTATGAACTGGGAAAGCACAGTTATTTGCTGTATGTCTTTATGCAGTATTCTAGATAAATGTTCATATGGGTGACTGTGTATGGAGTTGCCAAATTCTATATTTTCTCAAAGAGGAATCTTCGCACAAATAGGTGCAAATGATCAGCCTCGTCTTTTCAGGACTCTACTCTCTTGACAACAGGGTTTCCCATGCCACCCACATTTGTTCATCAGGGTCAATCTCCCCTACTTGCTCTATTTTATTTTCCACTAAGATATGTACACCACACCATCTCTGTGACTTCTTTTGTACTAGTCAATTTGGATTACATTAGTTTTTTGTGATCCACCTTTCTGCTTTGATTAATAAACTGGATATTAGATTAAATGCTATTCATTTTCCTTGAAGCTAAAACGTAACAAACACAGCATGATCTGGCACCCAAGCAGGGCCACCTTAAATGATAATATTTCAGATGCATGCCCTGGAGTGGTGACATTTAATTTTGCACAAAAGTTGTAAACACAGCTACTTGATGAGTCTGAATCAAAGTCTGCTTTGGGTTGGAGTTTGAGGAGTAGTTCATTTTCTGGCTTAAGATTCCAGTCACCCAACAGGAAGTGTTTGACTGACTCCTCTGAGCCAGGCGCTGTCACAGCAGACATTACAGATCTCCTCTGCTCTGTCAAGGCTGCAGGTTGCTCCTGTGGAGCCCTTTCTCCTGCTGGGCTGCCATTATCTGGCTATACATGTGGTACAGCAAAGTGGTTAGGACCTAGGCCACTTGTACAGAGATATCCAGGTCGGACCTGGGCTCTGACACTGACTAGCTGTGTGTCAGGCCGATGGCTTCTCTAGCCCATTTCCTCACCTGTAACACAGAGGTCCTGTAGTTACCTCACGGTTGTGGTGAGTGTTCCTGAGATGATGCACCCTAACGGTATGGTCCAGTGCCTGGCACATTATGAGAGTTCAGTAAATGTTAGCTGATAAAAACAAAACAAAACAACAACTAGCATACATACAAAGAGAGGAACACATACACACACACAGAGGTACCACACATCTTTGTATACCAGGGCTTAGCACCACATCTATCATAGTGTGGCTGACTATTACAGTTTAGTTAAAAGGAGATTAGCTAGACATGAAGAGACTCTCATGAGTATTCATCGCAAATCAATTTAAATCTAAGTTTTTAATCATGGTTCTGTAGTCCCTTCAATTTACACAGGTTGGGGAGGAGAGTGGCCTCGTACTTAGAGCAAACCACCTCTACTGGGGGACAAACAAGTCCATATTTGGAGTCATTTCCTCCTCCTGCCTTTCTCCTTTAGGTGAAGGTGAGCTTCCCCAAGGGCACTTTGACCACACTCTCAGAAGGCAAACCAGCCAGAGGAAATCAGGCCTGTCCTAAGTGGACGTTTGCTAATTGAATGGTGGTTTAAATTGCTGATTCATAGAAACACTGTAAGTATCTTCTGGAATGTACAGCACTGAATATAGTGGGGACTCAAGTAACGTCTGTTAAATTGAGATGAATATTTTGGTTATTATTGAGGTGTAACATTACCTAGTGGGTCGGGGATTTTGTGTACTTGGATGCCTGAAAGATCCTGATGATTTTGGCTCAACTTATTTTCCTTCAGACCTGAAGTGGGTGAGACACAACGACTCTGAGTAATAGAAGCAACATTATGTTATCTAATGAACGCTGAAGGAAATCCAAGAAATTCTCCAAAATCACTATTTTCATATAACATGTTTATTACCCGACTTCCCACACGTTCTAGTACTGTGGAAAAGTGATGTCTGTAACCTAGGAGTCATCTTATAAAAGTCACAATTCAACAATTGTGAGGGCCCCCTGAAATCCATGTTGACTGCTTTGTCTTGGGGGCTTTCTTTTTTCAGCCCCAAGAATGGGTTTAGAGGAAAGGGTACAACTCTGGAGTGGTCATCTCTAGACACTGGGCTCATGGATATTTTTTTCTATGTCATTTCTGTAGTCCTCAAATTGTCTAGTAGAAAACATTTATGACTTTTGAATTTTATTTTAAAATTTATTTTGAGAGAGAATTCACATTTTTCAAAATATTGACACTACCTCTGCATGTTATTGAGCTCTTTAGAGACCATACGTGAAATTTGGCGATTAGAAAAGCCTGTAATAGGCTCTGCCGTGATGACTTTTTTTTCCCTTTTCTCTAATGACTTTTGCCTTCTTTACAAAACTAACCTGATTTCTCTCTTGATTCCTACTGATCCCATCTGCCAAGTTAGAGACAATGTTCATGCTTGGGGTGCTCAGCGTGGTTTATTGAGCTGAAAATCTCTTTTTCACTAGGTTGTACAGATAGAAAGTGTTACAGATAGTGGTAAAAATACTCAGTTCCCTTTTTTTGCCATTGACTGATATTTATTTTTATTATTCATTATTATTTTTACCATTTTATTGAAGTCACAGTGGTTTATAACATTGTGGAAATTTCAGGTATACGTCATTGTATTAGCTTCTGTATAGACTGCACTGTGTTCATCACCAAAAGCCTAGTTTTCATCTGTCTCCATATATATGTGCCCCTTTATCCCTTTTGCCCTTGCCCTCTGCCCTTCCCCTCTAATAACCACCAATCTGTTCTCCTTATCTATCTTCCACATATGAGGGAAATCATACAACACTTGTCTTTCTCTGACTTTTTTCCCTTAGCATAACACCCTCAAGGTCCATCCATGTTGTCACAAATGGCACAATTTCATCCATTTTTGTGTGTGTGTGAGGAAGATCAGCCCTGAGCTAACATCCATGCTAATCCTCCTCTTTTTGCTGAGGAAGACCAGCTCTGACTAACATCTATTGCCAATCCTCCTCCTTTATTTCCCCCAAAGCCCCAGTAGATAGTTGTAAGTGATAGTTGCACATCCGTCTAGTTGCTGTATGTGGGACGCTGCCTCAGCATGGCTGGAGAAGCGGTGCTTCGGTGTGCGCCAGGGATCCGAACCCGGGCCGCCAGTAGCGGAGCAGGTGCACTTAACCACTAAGCCACGGGGCTGGCCCAATTTCATCTATTTTTGTGGCTGAATACTTTTCCATTGTATATACATACCACATCTTTTTTATCCATTCATTCACGGACGGGCTCTTGGGTTGCTTCCAAGTCTTGGCTATTGTGAGTAATGCTGAAATGAACATAGGAGGGTATATATCTGTTCAAATTGGTGTTTCTGTGTTCTTTGGATAAATAACCAGAAGTGGAATAGATGGATTATAGGATATTTCCATTTTTAATTTTTTGAGAACGCTCCATGCTGTATTCCATAGTGGCTGCCCCAGTTTACATTTTCTCCAGCAGTGTATGTTGAACCTCCCTTATATTCCTGGAAGAAATCTCACTTAAGCGTGAGACATGATCCTTTTCATGTATTGTTGTATTCGATCTGCTAACATATTGTGCAGAATTTTTGCATCTATGTTCGTCAGCAATATTGGCTGTAATTTTCTTTTTTTGAGTCGCCCTTATCTGTTTTTTGCATCAGGGTAATGTCGAGTTTGTAAAATGTGTTAGGAAGCATCTCTTTCTCTTCAAAGTCTTGGAAAATTTTGAGAAGGAAAGGTATTAAATCTTCTTGAATGTTTGGTACAATTCACCAGAGAAGTTGTCTGGTCCTGGGCTTTTGCGTTTTCGGAGGTTTTTGATGGCTGTTTCAATCTCCTTGCAAGTGATTGGTCTATTCAGATTTTCTATTTGTTCTTGATTTAGTTTTGGAAGGTTACATCATTCCTGGAATTTATCCATTTCTTCTAGGTTATCCAATTCGTTTGCATATAGTGTTTCATAGTATTCTCTTATAATCCTTTGTATTTCTGTGGTATCTGTTTTAATTTCTCCTTTTTCATTTTTGATTTTATTTATTTGAGCCTTCTCCCTTTTTTTTTATTAGTGAGGCTAGTAAAGGATTGTCCATTTTGTTCATCTTTTCAAAAAATCAGCTGTTAGTTTCATTGGTCCTTTCTTTTTTCTTTTTAGTCTCTATTTCATTTATTTCTACTCCGATTTTTATTATTTCCTTCTTTCTACTGATTTGGACTTCATTTGTTGTTGTTTTTCTTGTTCCTTTAGGTGTAAAGTTAAAGTGTCTATTTGAGATTTTTCTTGTTTTTAGATGTAGGCCTGTATTGCTTTAAACTTTCCTCTTAGTAACAATTCTGTTGCATCCCATAGATTTCGTTATGTTGTGTTTCATTTACATTTTCATTTAGATATTTTTTTATTTCTCCTTTGATTTCTTCATTGATCCAATAGTTATTCAGTACTGTATTTGTGGCTTTTCCAACGTTTTTCTTACTGTTGATTTCTAGTTTCGCATCCTGTGATACAAAAGATGCTTATCTGATTTCAAATTTTAGCTTAAAGAATCTATTATTTCATAGGAGATAGAATTCCATAATTTCTTCTTTAATACCATGAAAAGTAATGTCATCACAGAAATTATTTTCTTATTTGGCATTGCTGGGTAAAGAACCATATTGCCAAATGGTAAAAGTGGCTTCATTAAAAATGCAGAAACTTGGGGGACAGCCTGGTGGCATAGTGGTTAAGTTCATGCACTACACTTTGGTGGCCAAGGAATCACGGGTTCGGATCCCAGGCACGGGCCAGCACACCACTTGTTGAGCCATGCTGTGGTGGTGTCCCATGTAGAATGGAGGAAGGTGGGCATGGATGTTAGCCCAGGGCTAATCTTCCTCAGCAAAAAGAGGAGGATTGGCAACAGATTTATCTCAGGGTGACTCTTCTTCAGAAAAAGAAAATGCAGAAATTTGTTCACATTTCTCAAGTATATTTGCATTGGCATATTTCCATTTCAGTTACTGAAGAGTTACTTCCTCTCAGATATACATTCCCAAATTGCTAACAAAGAAACCCTACTGTTTGTGAGAACAAAAGGGCCTTTCTTTTGATGCAATGTCTTAGCAGTTTCAACACAATTAACACCTGGAAATAAAAAAAAAAATCTTAATTCTCTGTACGTTTTTCTTAGTAACTTAGAAAAGTAGCTGGTTGACCATTTGGCCAGATCTCTTCTTCTGCTCTTATTCTTTCCATTTTACATCAGTGCTTTTCAATGATTAGTGCCTTGTTTGAAAACAGATGTTTGGGTCAATTTGTCTGAGGAAAACTTATAAAATATCTGATGCCACAAAACTTTTGTTCAAGGACTTCCCAAGGAACCCACAAGATCAAGTTGCCAGTACAGTGTTTTAACTACTAGTTACATCGTGAAGCTCAGGAGGAGGCTGTGTTTTTGTAGAAGCTGTAACCAGTGTGACAGATCATACTGGATCAAGACATTTGGGAAAGGGACTAAGCTCACAGTAACTCCCTCTGGTAAGTAACTGTTTTTCTATTTTTACCCAAGTAACGAAAAATTGGTAGATGCTTTTCAGAAAAAGAATTTAGGATCACACTTATCTGACTGCCACATACTTGGCCTCAGCATATGAAGAGCAATTTTGCAACTACTGGTCACTGTACATGAAAAGAAAACTACTTCATAAATGATTTGTTGAATTCCCTGATGGTAAGTACATTGAAATTACTTTTATAATACACTAACACAAAATGATAGACTCAGGCTACATATTAACATATTTTTTGGACCACGTTTGCAAGCCATTGGTGTAAATTATTTGTTCAAGATACTTTTCTTGAAGACAGTCTTTTAGGTGAGAGTCATTTTTATTAATTACCACTTCTCTATATGTCGAGATAAAATATACTGCTCCTTTCTTGCAATAACCTTCAAAACCCATGTTATTGGTTTTCATCTATCCCAACAGCAGTGCAAAAGATTAATTCTTCAAGTAAATGACGATAGAACATTGACAAATCTCACTTCTTGTTACTCTAGCTTCTTAGAGGTAGGCTGAGATCAGTCAAAATTTATGCATCACAAGTCTTGATGAATTGCCTAGAGATGGGCCAGTTTAAGGGAATTTGTAAGCTCAATAAGCCATTTCAGCTCCAAAGTCCATGAAAAGAGTCTGCATGGTTTACATCCTCATTTGCTCATTCATTCTGTCAGCACGCATTCATTGAAAACAGTTTCAGTGCTGGATACTGGAGATAAACAGGGGAAGAAGATAAAGATAGAACAAGTCTTAATATTCCAAAAGCTTCTAGCCTAGTGGATAAGTGTTCTAACTCCAACTAAGTCCTTGGAGGCCATTCTCTGCCTGACGTAGCAAGGAAGACATTCACAAGGAGTTAACTACTTAGACCACTGTGAGTCCCTATGGAGTGGGGACGTTAACATCCATTTTGTATTTCTGTATTGAAAGATTTGTAAGGAAGTTTGGTATTATGTTTATTTGATTCCAAAATAACCAGTGGGAAAAAATGAACAAAAATTGCTAAACTTGTCATTTGCTCAGAAGATGATTAACAACCATTACTAAACTATTTAACATGGCAACCATATTCAAAAATTTCACACGATGAGTTGCCTTTTTCTAAATTCAGTGCAGTAAATTTGTTCAGTCCTCATTAGCCTCAAAGAGGAAATTTTGCATGAATTAGGGAGAACATCTCACAAGGATATTCTTAGACTACTAGATTCGTTGAAATGAAAGCTTTTAAAGAATTTTCACAAAGTTGCTAAAACAACGAAAAAATGAAAGTATATGTTTTCTTTTCGTTAGTGGTTGTGATCATATAAACAAAGAATTCATAGATTGAAAAGCAACTTTCTGCTTTCCAACTGACTACATAGTCAATGTAAATTTTAGCAATCAAATTAAACAGTGGTGACGCAGATATAATTCATGTGGGTCCTGAAAAATGTTTTTTAGGAGAGTGTGGTGCAGGGAAAAATATGGACTTTGACTCTGGGTCTATCACTTTTTGTATAGTCATGCTTTAGCAAATAAATTTTAATTCATTTGTTACTGCTCTACTAAAATTATAAAAATAATACTTGCCTGTTATGAAAAAAAGGGAAATAGAAAAAATTAAAATTTTATATCAACATGTATTTCTGTTAACATTTTGATATATTTCCATCCATTCATTCTGTCTATGTAAGAACCAACTCAAGAGGATGTTGTGAGGATTAAACAAAATTAAAATTACCAACATGGTCATTGATAAAAATGTCAATTCTCTGAGTTCAAATTACCACCATTTGAATTCATCATGAAATCCGGAGTGCAGACAAATGTATTAATTACTCTCTTGTCTACAGGTCACATTAGAACAAATGGTTAGTATTTGGAAAAAAATTTCAATTTCTAAGACTAATTGTTACCTGCCTCTAAAAAATGATTAGAATATAATAAGCATTCTCTCAAATATTATTAGCCTGAATTTAAGGTGATCTCTCATTTTCCAGTAGAAATTTCTGGAAGTAAAATAAAGAGGGGCTTTTGCAACTTGAATGTGTTAATTTATAGTGATACAGATAAGAGTCAAATACCCACTTATAATATTTAATTTCTTAACTGGATTATACATACAAAGTTAACATTATATCAATAAATATCAGTGGAGAAATATTGCTCTTTTGGCCCTCACATTTCATTAAAATTTTGTTCAGACTCTTCACATGCATCTGAAACATCTACTTCAGAGCAACTTTCTAGGTCATCTCAGGGTCTGAGTGTCTGTTCTGGGATCCCCATAGGATGATGTCATTGGATATTTTACCTAAAGAGACAATTATCCATTTATAAAATAAAAGGAAAGCATTTTTTTCATTTATTCTGTTAATTTATAAATGTGCAACATAAGCATAACCTGTAGAATCTTTATTCCCAAGTAATATTTACCAAATCCATGTTAAATTTCTTTAGTTGCTTTTACCAGTGCTAGCTCCAAAACAGGCATTAATTGAGTTCTTTTCAGGTGGAGATCTTGTCCAAGTAGTATTTTTTGATCACAGCAGAGTATTAGAAGAGCATCTTTTGACATACAACTATCTACTGGGGCTTTGGGGGAAAAAAAAATAAAAGCAGGAAGATTGGTAATAGATGTTAGCTCAGAACTGGTCCTCCTCAGCAAAAAGAGGAGGATTAGCACGGATGTCAGCTCAGGGCTGATCTTCCTCAAAAAAAAAAAGAGCATCTTTTAATATGAGAGGTTGCAAAAGGACTGAAAGATAGGGCCACCCCTATTTTCTGAGGGATAATTTTGAGAAAGAAAGCCTCACCTTATGTTCTGGCACTTTCAGTCAGTTTGAATTCTGCATGTTTTGTGTCTATATCACAGAGCTAGGATTTGCAAACATATCTCCCACCTCTCATGCCATATTCGTGGTAGACCTCACTAAACCATCAACCACTGGGGCAGAAAAAGAAACAAGCTGTAAGGAGCAAACTCTTTGTCATTTATTTCAACTGCCTATTTCCAAAATCTATTTGAGAAGAGCTAAAGTCAAACACACAACTACAGTCATACCATATTTCATTGTACTCCGCTTTGTTGCACTTCGCAGATATTGCACTTTTTAAAAATCAAAAGTATCTGGCAACCCTGTGTGGAGCAAGTTTTCAGTGCCATTTTTCTGAAAGCATTTGCTCACTTCGTTTCTTTATGTCACATTTTGGAAATTCTTGCAATATTTCAAACTTTTTCATTATTGTTATATTTGTTATGGTCATCTGTGATCAGCGATCTTTGATGTTACTATTGTAATTGTTCTGCGGCTCCATGAACCGAGCCCATATAAGACAGTGAAGTTAATCGATAAATGTTGTGTGTGTTCTGAATACTCCAACAACTGTTTCCCAATCTCTCTCCTTCTCCTTGGGCGTCCCTATTCCCTGAGACACATCAAAATGGAAATTAGGCCAATTAATAACCACGCAATGGCCTCTATGTGTTCAAGTGAAAGGAAGAGCTGCATGGGTCTCATTTTAAATTAAAAGCTGGGAATGAGGAAGCTTAGTGAGGAAGGAATATCGAAAGCTGAGATAGGCCAAAAGCTAGGCCTCTTACGGCGGTTGGCCTAGTTGTGACTGCAAAGGCAAAGTTCTTGAAGGAAATGAAAAGTGCTACTCCAGTGAACACATGAGAGACAAGAAAGCAGAACAGCCTTATTGCTGCTGTGGAGAAAGTTTTAGTGGTCTCGATAGAAGACCAAACCAGCCAAAATGTTCCCTTAGGCCAAAGCCTAATCTAAATCAAGCCACTAAATCTTTTTCATTCTATGAAAGATGAAAGAAGTGAGGAAGCTGCAGAGGAAAAGTTTGAAGCTAACAGAGGTTGATTCACAAGGTTTAAGGAAAGAAGCCGTCTCCATAACATAAAAGAGCAAGGGGAAGCAGCAAGTGCTGATGTAGAAGCTGCAGCAATTGTCAGATTTAGCTAAGAGAATCCATGGAGGTGGCTACACTAAACAACAGATTTTCAATGTAGATGAAACAGCCTTATGTTGGAAGAAGATGGCGTCTAGGGCTTAGAGAGAAGATTCAAAGGACAGGCTGACTCTCTTGTTAGGGGTTAATGCAGCTGATGACGTTATGTTGAAGCCAATACTCACTTACCATTCTGAAAATCCCAGGGCCCTTAAGAATTATGCTAAATCTACTCTGTTTATGTGCTATAAATGAAACAACAAAATGAGGGTGACGGCACAACTGTGTACCACATGGTTTACTGAATATTTTAATCCCCCTGTTGAGACCTACTACTCAGAAACAAAGATTCCTTTAAAAGTATTACTGCTCAGTGACAGTGCAGCTGGTCACCCGAGAGCTCTGACGGAGATGTACAATGGGATTCATGTCGTTTTCATGGCCGCTAACACAACATCCATTCTGTAGCCCATAGATCAAGGAACAATTTTGATTTTCTAGTCTTATTATTTAAGAAATACATTTCATAAGGCTATAGCTGCCATAGACAGTGATTCCTCAGATGGATCCAGGCCAAGTAAATTCAAAAACTTCTAGAAAGGGTTAACCATTCTAGACGCCATTGAGAACATTTATGATTCATTGAAAGTAGTCAGAATATCAAAATTAACAGGAATTTGGAAGAAGTTGATTCCAACCTTCATGGATGACTTTGAGAGTTTCAAGACTTCAGTGGAGGAAGTAACTGCAGGCGTGGTGGAAATAGCAAGAGAACTAAAATTAGAATTGGGGCCTGAAGATGTGTTTGAATTGCCACTATCTCATGACAAAACTTTAATATTGAGGAGCTGATTCTTATGGATGAGCAAAGAAACTGGTTTCTTGGGATGGAATCTCTTCCTGGTGAAGATGCTGTGAATGTTGTTGAAATGACAACAAAGGATTTAGAATGTTACATAAACCTAGTTGATAAAGCAGCAGCAGGGTTTGAGAGGATTGACTCTAATTTTGAAAAAAGTTCTACTGTGCATAAAA